TTCACAAATCAATTGAAAATCAATGTGTTAAACTCACAGTCACAGAGGCAGCAAAACAAGAAGTCTGGAGACTGGAACTGAAAGACTGGAAATTGACGTCTGGAAAAATCAATTGAAGAGCATTGTGTTAAAAAGAAACAAAATCAAACATTATTACAATTTACACAAATTAAAAAATAATAATAATAAGAAACGGAAAACGAGGCACGATGGAGCAGGCGAGGGCCGCGAGGCTTTTCACGCCTTCACCTAAATCCTAATTCCTAATCACCTTCTTCTTCTGCTGCTGCCGAAGAATAGACGGCGGTTGAGGCACGACGGAGCAGGCAACTGGGCGAGCTGCGAACCAAACTCGAATGGAAATTGAGTGGCGGGAGGACTGAGGAAGCGGCGAAAACTGAGTGGAGCCGGCCGCCGGGACTGGGAGATATAGAAGGCGGAGGCGGAGGACGTGAAGGAAGGAGGCGGATTGAGGATTCAGTGGAGACGGGAAGCAGGGGCGAAATCGTTGTAAATGGTGAAGGGTTGAATTGAATTAAAAAACAAATGGGCCTTCAAACTGAGCCCAGAAGTTCCGTGCAGGCCTGTGCCTGCACTGGACTTGCTTGGGCTCGGCCCTTGTATCTAATTATCTATTCGCTTCTTAAGTTTAATGTCACGTTTTTTTAAAAAAAAAAATTGCTATTGTAGACCGAATCCAAATTGAAAATGCTCTTTATTTCACTAATTACATGAAATTGAATGATTCTATTAACAAAATACCCGAAACTGAGAGATGGTTTTGATTTTTAAAATTTTGGACTGAACCACCCAATGCCCAACCTATTTAACATGGAAACTTGGAGGCCTGGACAAAGGAAATGAGGTATATCGCATACATTTTTTTTTAACTAAATAAGCAATACATAAAAAAAGAAAATTGTGACTATTTTATCACCACAATTTTGACCTTTTGTATATTTACTAAAAGAGTCATAAATAAAACTACACAAATATGTCTTCCATTCATTTTGTTTTAAGTTGTTATGTACACCACATGCCTCCCAATAAAATAGTTTCTTTTTTCCTCTCTATCTCCTTTGTTTTTGGTCTTTCACTATTGAACCTGAGTGAACGATGAACGTGAGTGAACCTTTGTTTAATATCGAATAAGAATTGACCCATCTATTTGAAATGCCTCATTTACTTGGGTCCAATGAGGAAACTCAAATAAAAACTAAAGTACCTATGAAAAAAAAATAGAAAATTTGAGTAACTCAAATAAGTTGAGGTCCTGTTTGAACCACCTTATTGTAGAATACTAGAAAGAGAATGAAAAATACAGTTGTTATTGGGGTACACACAAGAGATAGAAAATTTGAATCTAAATGTTGATGTGATGGATAACGGTCATATTTTTCATTTTAATGAGATAATAATGTAGATCAAACGGGGGCTTAATGTATTTTGCTAAAACAATACTTAAACTAAATAATGAGTTTTTGGACAATTTTTTTAAAGGATTTA